GTCAGCAGAAGCTCAAAATAAATCAAGTAATTGGATTCTAAAAGCTCTAACTGCTAATCAAACTTTTACTTATGATCTGTAAGGAGTCAAATCAAGTGATATTCAGTATTAAATTTAGTGGGGATCCACTTTTTTTTCATAGCTAACAAATTGTATCATAATATCAATTCTAACTTACAGACCGTTCTGATATATCTAAGTGAGAATAATGGTCTAAAGGTTAGGCGTTTGTTCGTCAGACCGAAGGTCCTGGGTTCGAATGCTTAGAACGATATCATGGATGCACACTGTTGAAATGTCCTATTATAGGAAGAAACCAGTGCTTTCAGATTTTCAGTGGTGATCTAACATCAATCGATTCATGAACTCAACTATTAAATCACTAAAATATCCATGAAACCCCTTTCTGAAAACATATAATTATTATTAGAAGGGGTTTTTTGAAGATTGTAGTAATTTCAACAGTCGAGATCATGAGTTGATTGAAGCTAGACCACCTTTGAAAACCTGGAAGCAATGGACGGCCGTTTCGTCCTATTGCGAAACTCCTCAGCAGTGCGCATCCACGACCCCGCCTCGCTGGATTCAAACCCAGGACCTGTCGGTCCCGCGCCAGGCGCTCAACCAACTAGACCACTGAGCTGGCATGCATCCGACTATGTTAATGTCTAACTTCAACTAATCGACGAAATTGAGCGACACATCCAACACTGTCATCAGTGAGTTACTACCTCACAACTGACCAGGTTGAACTCCACTGCTGAGGAGTCTCATAATAGGACGAATCGACCGTCCAGTGCTTATAGGTTTTCATGGTGGTCTAGTATCAATTGGCTCATGATCCCAACCGTTGAAATTACTACAATCTCGACTGTTGAAATATATAAATACGTTAATTTTATTATACTACTAATATGCAGCTTTAATAGTATAGTTCTATTTACAAGTAATATAATTATTTTCACAGATTGAACTACAATACTAATTAAATAAAAGTGAATAACTTTTCACGTTTACTGTTTAACTACATCTTTGTTTTCGGCACCGATCATCATCATCTACCATATAAATAATAATATGACTAAATCCCGCACGCGAGACTCAAACACAGGATCTTTGGTCTGGCGCGCCAATGCTTAACCTCTAGACCACCTATTTGGCATTAAATAATGTCGGTGACTAATTTCAACAAATCCACGAGGATGTGCAACCACCCATCAATGTCTGAGATAGATACCTGTCTCCGCCTGAAAGGAATAGCTCGACTGGTCACAGTTGCTCACAAGAACTCCGAGAATCCCGAGAAGGAGCTAGTTAACAGTGAGCACATGATAATCAGCAAGGTAGGGTTGTGGGGATTGATAAGTCTTTCAAAGATATCAGAATCCATGTATGTTAGATAATAGTCCAGTGCTCTACGTTTCCAATGATAGGCTAATATTCATCGACCCATGATTTCAATCGATAGCTTAACAACACCATCCTGCGAATATGGTTGCATATATTGATGATTCTAAGAGAAAACGACCATAAAACTCACTTCAATTTAGATAGTAAATGGTTACAGTGTTTATTCATAGCTGAAGCAAGACTAACTATGAATTGACTGCCAAAATATTTGTTTTCAATTAACTTGCTTTTCACAAAAGCAGGAATGTTTTGTAAAATGAGACTTCCGTTCATCTCTGTTCTGTGTGTATGTAGATGACTGTCAGTCACATAAACACATAATTAGAAAGCGGTATTCATTATTCTAACAACGTTTCATATCACGCCCACGACACAATAGACAATACCATATTATTTGAATAATTAAATATAATGAGGTGATAGATGAAGAGGAAGTATAATCATTGAAATTTCTACAAACAACTGAGGTCATCAGAAATATTCCGATGCTTTGCACTACTATTTCAGTGTTTTTTTTAAAAAGAATATTTCTTGTGAGACAACGCATATCAGATAAGTAGAATTGAAGTAGATGCGATGATCATGTGCAATATTCAACTAAGTAATCTTGAGTAATGAATCGTCAAGTGACAGTCCCTAACCCGATTAGATTTATGAGGACGTTAGAAGTACATGATGTGTTCAAGCCAAGTAAAGACTGTTCATCGAGAATAATGTGTTCCTGTCGACCGATGTTATCTTCTAAATCCGTCCAACCATATCTTTTACTTACCAAACACATTGTGGTCTCAAATGAAGTAGAGAAGTGAAACATGAATGCCTCCTTGATCAAAATAGACAAGACGAAATACAAGCAAATAAACCAACAAAAGTCGATGATGAGGAGTTGCATACAAGATCAAAACAGCCAACCCGTACTCCCATGATTCTAGCGGTGATCTGACTAAAATCACTTTGTGATTGAAAGCGATGAAGATGCCATTATCTTCCCAAAACACTCGTGGTGGAATAACTTCGGGATAATATCTTAACTGCATATCGTGTGCTACATATCCCCTAATTTCTTTAGTGTTCTCATTTGCCTTATACCGTTCTCAGTCTGCATATTCAGCTTTCTCAATCCGCATAACTTTCTTAACACAATTAACTTGATGACAACCCGTCTTATTGCACATTATTTTCACATTGCGTTTTCTTGATTAATAATTATATTACAATTGGCATCATTGGTATTGGCACTCGAACAATATTAATAATAATAACAATTTTTATTTTTATTACTGTTATCGCAATTATTATCAACTCCACTGATCAAATTATATTCTCCTTACATTCATTTCTCGCGTATCATTCGGTTGATTATTACATTAATTACAATTAGGCACCTCACACCGAATCACTTCAATCTTATGAGAATAACCAATCCAGCCTACAGATGACAAATTGTTAAGACATTTATCACACAACTGATACACAGAGTCGTCACGTTTTAACACAACATTGTCTAATTCACTTGAATGCTCAATTTGAGCCCTCCTTACACTATGTTTGTGAGCTTTTAACAAAGTCCCTCTTCCTTTGTCTTTCCATCGAATCAACAACATTGAAAATCAGTTTTCGGCCTGAGAACAGCTGACCTTCATGCACTGATTTCGAAATAGTCAGTGCCAGTGAGCTCACCAATTGATTGTGCACTTCGCGCATGCACAAACGGTATACAAGATATAGATTGATGATAAAACTGATATCCGTTACACGTTTTGTTATTCACGTATCTTTTGTTTGATAATTTGAAATGCCGTCTCCCTAATTTTTTTCACAGTAAGTTGTTCAAAACACGATTCCATTGAAAAATGCCAAAATGCGACAACATCAAGTGTGAAATGTATGTGGTATGCAAAAGCTAATATGTGCATTAACAGCGATGATAATGATGTTAAAGTAAGTAATTGTTAAGATTCATAGATTGTTTACAACATTGCTATATTCCACATTGTACATCCGATTACTCGAAAGTTGTAGTATTGTTATGATGTATACTACCTATGCTGGCTGACATGAGTAATATTTAATACAAATCAAAAATAAAATGTCTGGCAACAGAATAATGTGAAAATCGAGTTGAAGAGAACGTATATACATAATGAGGAGTAATTGTAACGAAAAAGAACTAAGGAACGATGAAGTTTATGAGGGACGACTGACGGAAGATGTACGAATGAAGTATTTCATGTACGGTTTTCATATTTTACGAAGACACTGTGATTTCGCATTTAAAATTAAATTGGTTGGCCTCACCATGTCTTCGTTCACTGTGGTAATAATAATAATAATAAACATAGTATTAATAATGGAAGTGGCAATAATGTCAGTGGTATTATTACTATGAGTAAGTGTACCTTTGTATTACGATCATTACTGGTAAGCGGTTTATTTATGGCACGAATGGTAGAATTTGTAGAAATAGCAACAATGATAATAAATCTAGTGATAGTATCGGCAGATGTAATCATAATAGTTAGTATAGGATTGCGTAGTTTGTCGAGTTTTATTTCAGAAGAGCCAATCAAAGTAAGAGATAATTTTCTGAGTTCGATTAGGATACCGTGATCATTGTGGTTGATGTGTGTCAGGTATGGGCCAGTTACACACATCAGACAATGGAGGAGAGTCGCAAAATTTCGTAGATTGGTTGAAGTCAGACATTATCACAATGAGATACCGGCTCAATGATTTGAGGATAATCGATGGCGTGCGAGAATGTATGTCATGAGCTTGCAACATACGATAAGAAAGTGTAGGAGTTTGTGGATAATGTAATAATTATCTACACTAAAATGTTTGCCATACAACAATGCACACAACTACGGAAGGATTATGAGTTACAGACAAATATACATATCACATATTCAATCGATCGGAAGTTGTGGTGAATGTTTCTTGTAAGACAGTTATGATCTAATGAATGTCTGTGTAGGATCCAAACCACGTTTGGACTGCTGGACAGCTGCCTGGATAAGTTGGATACGCGCCCTCGCACGTTTGAAACCAAAACAAGGTAATTGGGTAAGATAGCGGTTCTAAACAAATATAACCACACAGCTATCCAACCAATAATTGTTTAATCGATCAAATCTAAACAATCACCACAAATAAATGTTATTCTATCCTGTCTGGATAGGTCACGTACAGATTCGTTCAAAAGGTAATAATTGGTCGCTCTATAACACAGAGTGTTTTCAATTCTGGAAGAGTGCTTCAATTCACAACCAAAATGCACAATTCCAGTCAACACAGGTCAAGCAATCAAAAGCAGGAACCAACCAAAATGGCTGCCGCTCAGACTTAGTATAAAGTAAAACAACATAAGTGCAGTTCGGGAAGAAACATGGGGAATTAGTGAAGGTGTGGTAAAAACGAAAACTATAATAAAATACAAATATTAACAATTCAAATGTAGTCAAAAAGTAAACAATGTACAACTAAGAAGATCAATAGGAACAAAGTGCAAGTATATACATGGAGGGATTTTCACAAGCACACAAGGCATTCAAAATGGATCTTACAGTCTGAGTTGACTTGATAACATCATCTGGCTACAAACATTTCAATAAAATGTTTCAATGACATCTTCCACATCCAGCAAGGGTTCAATTTGAAGTGCGTTGAAATGTTGTGATGAATATATTCAACAATGCTGTGTCTTTATGAAAACCAACACGTAATGGAGTTCCACTGATAATAAACTTCGGGTCTCTTTTCATGTCTGTTTTTGTTAATGATCTACAGATGATGTCATAGTCGTTTGTTTTGGGTTGGTCTTTTTCATATCATGATGAACTGTCCCCCGTAAAGACGATCAAGTAGTATTGTTGACTCTCGAAACGCCATTCTTCTAACGCTTTCATTGAGTAATACGATTTGCTATAGGAAATTCAATCGCCTTTTTATTTTGGTAATGGTAAAACAAAATTTCAGCGAAGCTGAATAAAGATCTGAGAGATGTCCCAGCTCTGATCTCATCATGGCACAGACTTTAGATTGTGTAAACATAGTAGGTTAATTGTAGATACATTCTTCTAATGCTCTTAATTAATTATTCAATAATAATAATATATGTTTCTGCTATGGCAGGTACACGCCATTTCTACAGGGACGATTCACAAATTGCAACATTCATTGTTTCACAGTACGCATCTCAAGCAGGGTTGTTCAATAAATATAATCTATAAAAGTGAAGATCACTTCATTTCTTTAGATATACTGACTAGTCTTGAAAATATTTTCCAAAGTGGCATGGCGTCCACGTTATACACCAGATTCAATCTCGGCATAATTGTATTAGGATGTTGGTCGTGCTAATCATTTATGCAACGCAACTTCTTCAGTTTGTAGTTGTTATAAATTAGACTTGTAGAGCGCTTGGAGTGAACTATGACGTTGGAAAAACGCGTACATCGAGCTCGTTCCAAATGTCATTAGTTCCATAGTTGGTGCCCTCAGAGCAAGATTCTGAAAATAAGAAACCGAGGAGCAGCAAAGCACATGGATATGAACGATAAACAATGCTTAACGTTTTGTAGTGGAACAGACCTAGGAATGATTAATTATTGGATCAAATTCATACTAGCTCTTGTTGTCACAGATGAGAGAATGCAGTAATAAAGAACAATAAGTTGTGATACTTATCAAGGCGTACTAAGTTCAAATGAAGGAATGGAAGTCAAGGTTGGAATGAGGAAGGCTGTTTTATCAGAACAGATAGTGCATATAGATAGTAAAGTGTTAATAAAACTAATAACTATACCCTTTATTGTATGATGTTTTCCTTTATTTTTCCACCCAATGCCTGCCATACAGTCCTAATTGAAAGTCCGAGTTAGCATGTTATAGACTGTCTTAATAGAATAGAATTGTGGTTACTAATGAACATTCCATCGGTTCAGAAAGTGAGGACGTGAAAACAAACTGATTCTAGCAGAGAACGACCATTAAACTCACTTCAATTTAGATAGTAAATGGTTACAGTGTTTATTCATAGCTGAAGCAAGACTAACTATGAATTGACTGCCAAAATATTTGTTTTCAATTAACTTGCTTTTCACAAAAGCAGGAATGTTTTGTAAAATGAGACTTCCGTTCATCTCTGTTCTGTGTGTATGTAGATGACTGTCAGTCACATAAACACATAATTAGAAAGCGGTATTCATTATTCTAACAACGTTTCATATCACGCCCACGACACAATAGACAATACCATATTATTTGAATAATTAAATATAATGAGGTGATAGATGAAGAGAAAGTATAATCATTGAAATTTCTACAAACAACTGAGGTCATCAGAAATATTCCGATGTTTGGCACTACTATTTCAGTGTTTTTTTCAAAAGAATATTTCTTGTGAGACAACGCATATCAGATAAGTAGAATTGAAGTAGATGAGATGATCATGTGCAATATTCAACTAAGTAATCTTGAGTAATGAATCGTCAAGTGACAGTCCCTAACCCGATTAGATTTATGAGGACGTTAGAAGTACATGATGTGTTCAAGCCAAGTAAAGACTGTTCATCGAGAATAATGTGTTCCTGTCGACCGATGTTATCTTCTAAATCCGTCCAACCATATCTTTTAATTACCAAACACATTGTGGTCTCAAATGAAGTAGAGAAGTGAAACATGAATGCCTGCTTGATCAAAGTAGAGAAGACGAAATACAAATAGATAAACCAACAAGCAATCAATGATAATCATTATGGAACTGAAATCATGCTTCGCTGTATCATTGAATATCACTAATTGTCAATAAAACTAATGAAGATGTTTCATGAAGAAACTTATCTTCTTGACAATATCGACTCCTGAATTTGCACGATTGTATTTCCAGATTATGTTTTTGCATGTATTGGTGTGTGATATTAGAGATGGGTGTTGCAGAATTATCGCAGATGATCAGACTTATTTATGCGGGATTCAATCGAGAGGAAATTGTGTTTCGCATATGAATAGTCAAGATAATCAAGAACCTTCAAATATTTGAAGCAATAATTTATAAATGGTGGGTGTTATTTCATGGTAATCTAAGTCTTCTAGTGCTGAATAAAATAGGTTTCGTCATCTGTCGACGTAGCAAACAGTCGTAAAGAGTCCACGTTGTGTAGTAGTATTGGCAGAGTTCAAAACAACAATCTATGGAACAGAAGATGGAGATAACTGTCTACTCAGTAGATGATGATGAATTGAAGGAGATGAATATGAAGACGAAGGTAATAATCAGCGATTCTAATTTGTAACATTCTATGTGGTGCTAAGGCCGTTGACGAATAATAGATTAAACGTGAGTCCTCTCCTCTTGCTATAGCTTCGGCCTCATCCAAAGCTTTTTGAGCCCGTTCTATTTATTGTGTAAGGGAATTTGAACGGAGATTCGCGTGATGGATGTGAACCGAATTGACTGTGTTTGAGAATCGAGTTGTTGATTGATTTGTTCATCCCTTTAGATAATCATACAGAGTGGTGCTCGGATATTCGTTCATCATGTACAGCTACAAACTGCTTCACGAGAGTAAGCAAACTTGTGGATCAATATTGAGATGGCCAGAGGTAGCAAATGATACTTAAGACTTCCCTGAATGACTTTCTTGGTAGATAAAATAGTTTGGAGCTGCGTTTTAGAAAAGACTTTTTTTAAGGATTTGTACGTTTGTTCTTTTGTGTCTTAGATGCTCTTTCACCCCTGAATTCAATATTCAAGAACAGAACTTTCTTTGGAACAGTGGGAGATATTCTGATTAGACATCCCGGTTTCAGATTGCTTTCATTGCAGATGGGTTGGAGAAAATATTTCAGAAGCGTTTTTCGGATTATATTCAGTTCATCGTCAATTTTATCTGGGATAGGTCGGCCAGATCATCTGCGAAGTCCAGATCGTCCATCTC